TTTCTGCCATCCACTTCCTTGACGTCGGACTACGCTACCAGTATCACGGTAACGAGAGATGGTACGAGACACAAAAGATTTATTCACATTTAAATGCTGGAGTGCTCTAACGATAGCCACTTGTGGCCAAATATAAAGAAATCACACTATCACGCTTGAATTCCATCACGAATAACTTTTTTTCCTCGAAGATTCTCACCAAAAATGCTTTTGTAGGCTTGTAAACAATATAATGAGCTGTTACTGGAATAATTTTAACAGCTGTCGAACGAGTGGTTTAGAAATGACTGCAGTCTAAAGTTGGTTGCAGTTTCTTCATCTCACCCTGTATATCTCTCTAACTTCCAAAGAATCCATAAAAAATACCCAAGTTTTTGTTCTGTCCCTCCTGGGAATTAATACATCTCAAAAGCGACTTAAAACTTCAAAGCCTCCCGGAAATCGGTTGTGCATCTACAAAAACAAAAAAAAAATACACTTAGGATTACCAAAAAATAAATATTCCATTCGAAATTTGAATACATCATAACGGACTGCATTGAATATCAAAATTATTTGCTATTGAACCTTCAGCAACAACAAAAGCCACAACAACAAAAGGCGAACTTACAATTAGCTTAATTGAAATGTTGCTTAAATATGCTGCTTGCTGCTTTACTTGTTGTAATTTTATCCGCTGATGTTTTATTTATTAACCTGGTCCGGCAGCCCCTTCCACTGTGCTTTTTTCGGACTTGGATTACAAATTAAGCATTTGGATAGATGGGAGCCGCCAATAAACAAAAATTATGTGTGTGTGTGTGTTTTTGGAGTGGAGAGGGCGGCAAGGCGGGTTGGTTGTGCGCCTAGGCATGACAACAATTTTTTGAGTAGCTAGGTATTTCATTTCATTTTCTTTAATTATTTTGTTGTTTTTGTTTGATTTGTGTGTTTTTCTTTAGTAAAAGTAACAACAACAATAATAAAAAAATACCTTCACTTCACAGGCGAAACGGCAAAATTACCAACCCAAAAGATACACTTTTTTGGTCTAAACGCAATATTTATTGCCTGTGGTTTATTTGGCGCTGGTGGTGTTGTTGCTGTTGGGTTGATATTATCTTTAAGTCAATTGAAAAAGAAAGTGTTTTGTGGTGGTGTCTATCTAGCTGTCTGTCTGTCCGTCTTTCTTTCTTTGTTACTGTCTGTCTATTTGTCAGTCTGAGAGAGTAGTTTTGTTTTATTTCATTTCGTTTCGTTTTTTTGTAAAGATTTTTGCTTTGTTTGCGGTAACTAAACTTTTTCGCTACAACCTACTACTCTCCCTCCACTCAGACGTACACACAATGCCATGCCACCCATAGCCAAGTAGTGTCGATAGTTTTTTTTTTTTCATATTTTTTGGTGGCGCTCAAGCAGCTTACCTATTGAATCGTTGTAACACTTAAAACTTAAAAGGGAGACTTGGAATTGAAAGAGAGGTAGCGTGGAAAGCGTTTCTAAAATATTGACTCCCTTTGTGTGTGGTTGAGGCAAAAATTATAGGGGCCTAAACGAAAATTGAACTGAGAACCAAAAATTGTTTTGCGGTTTTGGTCTACAAACCGAATGGGCCTCCCTGCCTGTCAATACCACACTTAGATCCGATGTGAAGATGGACAATTCCGGTTTATTTCTTTATTCTCATACCTCCCACACAAAGCATCAAATCAGCCCACTCATCAAAATTTGATGCTTTCCCACTCCCCAAGACGACTGTAAAATTCTAAAAAATAAAAATTAAAAAAAATGGTTTTGTGCCCTCTGCCATATGGCAAGAGAGGTTAGATATCATTTGATACGGGCAAAACGTGCCGAAGTACCTCTCCCACAAAGGGTCAACATTTTGAATAATTATAATTCTTATAAAATACATAAAAAGACTCCGAATGTCTTCAAATTACATACATCACAATATTTTTATTAATCCAAGGTCTGGTGTGAAGATCGGTCCACTCCTTCTGGTACCTCCCCCACAAAGGGGCTCATAAAACACGAAATTAACATCCGATTTCATTCAAACTTGGCACATTTCAATATTTCGATCAACACAAGATCTGCTATAAAGATGGTAGAGATCGGACAATTTCTTCTCGTACCTCCCCCACAAAGGTTTGAAGTTTTGAAAAACAAAAACGGTCATAAAATCCGAAATAAGCATCCGGTTCTCTTCATACTACACAAATCACAATATTTTTATTAACCTAGGGTCTGGTGTGAAGATGGACAATATCAGTCCACTGCTTCTGTTACCTCCCCCACAAAGGGTCAACATTTTGAATATTTATGAAGCTCCTAAAATGCGAAATTCCATCCGATTCCATTCAGACTTGGTACATCTCAATATTTCCATCAACACAAGATCTGTTGTAAAGATGGTAGAGATCGGACAATGTCTTCTGGTACCTCCCCCACAAAGGTTCGAAGTTTTGAATTACCAAAACGGTCATAAAATCCGAAATAAGCATATGGTTCTCTTCATACTACACAAATCACAATATTTTTATTAACCCAAGGTCTGGAGTGAAAACGGGATATATCGATCCACTTCTCTGGTACCTCCCTCACTAAGCGTAAAAATGTTGAATATTCATGAAGCTCATAAATCACGAAATTAACATCCGATTCCATTCAGACTTGGTACATCTCAATATTTCCATCAACACAAGACCTGTTGTAAAGATGGTAGAGATCGGACCATGTCTTCTGGTACCTCCCCCACAAAGGTTCGAAGTTTTGAATGACCAAAACGGTCATAAAATCCGAAATAAGCATACGGTTCTCTTCATACTACACAAATCACAATATTTTTATTAACCCAAGGTCTGGAGTGAAAACGGGATATATTGCTACACTCCTTCTGGTGCATCCCCACAAAGGATCAAAATTTTGAATATTCATGAAAATTAACATCCGATTCTATTCAGAATTGACACATCTCAATATTTCCATCAACACAAGATCTGTTATTAAAATGGTAGAGATCGGAATATTCCTGGTATGGTACCTCCCCCACAAGGGGTTCAAGATTGTTAAAAACAAAACGCTCAAAATAGGAGATCCAAATCCCTCTCTCTCACTCTCTTCATCCAAAGATCTATTGTAAAGATTATATGTATCTGCCAACCCATTCTGGCACCTCACCCACAACATAACTTGCAAAACAATTCGGCGTTTCTTTATGACTTGCTTGCTTGATGTCGAATAAAATTGGATATAAATGTTCGATTACCTTCCAATTTTATATTTTTGTCTGCATTAGATGAAGTATGAAACTGGAATACTTCGGCCCGCTACATCTTGCACTTCACGCATATTTCTACAATTTCTAAAAATTTGCACATATCTCATATAAGGTATATGAAATTGTGGATATAGTCCAAATCTGGCACGTTGTAATATTTATATCAGTCTGAGTTCTCATACTAAAATGGTAAATTTTGTCCAACTGCTTCGTAACCTCCTCCATAAAGGGTCAACAGTTTGAATAATCATAACTCAAGGCTGGGGTATACATCTCTTGGCAAAACCGACTGATACTATTTTACTTGTTTTAGAGTCAAGTTTGGACATTTTGTTTCAAAGTCTTTCTCTTGGCTTAACACAGTTTTAGACGCTGTTCCTACCGACCATTTATGTGTACCCTTTTTGAAGTTGAAGGCCTTAACTTTACATTATATTATTAAAAAGTTATTTTAATTTTAAGCTCAGCAGCTCACATTGGTGAAATTGGCCGCTTAGGATTGATCCTCAGATTTCTCAACATCCAGTGCATATATTCAATCCTTATATAGTAAATTTGTTTATTAACGTTGTTTAATTTGTTAAATTTCCATAAAAACCACAGGAACTTAAAACTTGCGCCAATTTTCACAACGCATAGGGTGCACTAGGCACGAAAAAGTCTTACTAGCGTTGCCATCTTTGCAAATTATTTAAATGATTACTCCTCAATTATTTATGATGGACCGCTAAAGGAAAATGCTTTTTGTGAACGTTCCTGATTCGAAGGATGTACTAAGGGTACGGGTTTAAAAAACTACTGACAGCAGTAATATATTGAAACTATTGACAATAATATTCAATTATTATGATGAGAGAAATGAACACACGACGAAATTGCTTTCAAACAGAATTTCGCAAGGATATTCTTGATTGGACTGATAGTTTATGTCACCTTAAGGCTACGTGGATAAAAATCAATGCACAGCAGTAATACATTTGTGCCTCTAGTAACTTTTTTTTGCCTTTTCCCTAGTCGATTAAAAACCTCACACTTATGATGAAAATCTTGATGTATATAAGTTTTGGGACCTAGGTACATTATTCCAAGAATCTATTAACGCAATGAAACGCTTAATGCCACACCTTGCTGCACGGACTTATTCAGTCATTTTATTTTCAATTGCCTAAAAGTATGCTTTAATTTTTGTTAACTAAGCAAAGAGGTGGTAAGACCAATGTTCATTTGAGGTCTAATTAATCAAAAGATAGTCTAGACAAAACAAATATTAAAAAACGATTGAACTATTGAATTTCCTGCGAAAGAGTTATAGATTAGGTTAGGGTCCTAGCACCCAATTTGACGTAATCAAGAGATAAGCAAGGCAGACAGTCACAACGATAGTGTCGCATAATTCAGACACAGAAAATGTGATTATAGAAGAACCGAATTTTTGGAGTGAGGGCTACGAAATAATAACACGTCTGCTGTCCTCTTTATGACGCCCTGTCAATAAAGGGTTCACAGGTTGTATGGATTGTCAACAAACTATTGTTTATCTAAAACAATGACCGCCAGATAGTATAATAAATTTTATTTGCTTATTAGGTTATGTCTAAGAGTGTGTGTGTGCGCTCGTATTTGATACCAATTAATGTTGATTGGCTTAACTTCCAACTTACATACATACATACACGAACATATCTCTCTCCCATTGACAAACCAACTAATCTTCTCTTTATCTTTTGTTTACTTTTAGAAAACAACAACTCCAGAAAAATACAACACAAACACACACGGCTACAAACAAACAGAGACAATGTCAGTGTTTGTCCTTAGATAAACGTTTTATCAATGTTAAAGGTCCTGATATGATATCAGAGCAGCAGCAGCGACAGTAGTTGTTGTAGCAACACAAACGAATACCAGCAACAACTGTGAGAACTCCACTCCAAACACCGGATCTCAAATTAATAGAAAAAATAAACAACATTGGAGTGGTGCCGCGAACGAATGTGAACGCGTCAATAATGTTCTGGTGCAGCTAATGCGAGCACGGCATGTTGAGTTATCAAATTGAATTTGTAATGCACCGTCTTCTGCGCCATCATCACCATCATAAACGGTGTTGATACGACGTTTGTCGCCGTAGCTCTACTGCACTTCTGCATAGCTCTCATACCCAAAACCACAACATCAGTAACCATCATTTACCACCGGCCCCAGTAAGGAAGTAGCTAGCTAGCAGTAGACAGAAGACATATGTTCCAGAAAAACAGTCTCTTCTCCCCCTCACCGGAATAAAAGTGTCAAACAAGAACTCTAGCCAGCAATTCTGGCAAAATGCTCTCATATACCACCCATACCAAGTGATTCATCCTTCCAAGAAATGAAATGAAATAAATTGCATTTTCTTTTTCATTATTTATGAAAATAAAAAAAAACGAAAAACTAGAAAACGAAAACACCAACAAACGCCAAGGCAAAAGGAAAAGGAAATTAAAAGATTTCATCAACACAACAAGTGAAGCAAGAAAACAACCAACATTCTACCATAACAGCATCAAACATTCAAGCCAGAACACGGTCAATGCTACTAGTGGGTTGGTGGCTGTCTTGAAGAAACCTGGGAAGACACCCACACACACATACATCTTAGCATCAAGGCTCTAAGAACCACCACCAACCACCACAAATTTCCCATAGCAAACACACACACATTTTTTTTGCCTGTGGTTGGGGGGCAGTGGCAATGTCGCCCGGTTCTTTAAATGGTGGAGCAGGAGCAGCCGCAGCAGCAGCAGGTTATATCGATAGCAGTAGCGCCACCTCAAATACCTTTCAAATTGCCGCCAACGGTATCATGGATTCATCAAGAGTTTCGACATGCCTCATATCGATGCTGTTGATAGTCTATGGCAGTTTTCGTAGCTTAAATATCGAACAGGAGGCCCGCGAGCGGGAGCTAAAGAAACGCAATGAGTCGACAACAAATTTACTGACCGGCGAGCCGGTGCAACAGGAGACGAGTAAGTAAATGGAACATTTTTTTATACCCTACACCACATAGTGGTAAGGTTATCAAGTCTTTGTGCATTTGTTTTGGGGAAGGAAGCGAGATAGCCCCATTGTTACTTTTGAGGATCCTCATATAGAATCACTTTCTGAGTCGATTGTCCGTCATTATCCGATATTTGTCTGGCCCATGGACGAACCCTATTGAAATTGCTGATAATCGGATCGGATTTAGATATAGCTTCAATATATATCTTCAGCCGATTTCGGGTTAATTGTGCACCAAACGGCCAATATCAGTCCAAAGGTCCTGAATTTTAGTACATCCAACCGAATTCAGTCTAGAAGCAGGTCATTCCGTCTGTCCATGTATTCTTGTGAACAAAATACAGATGGCATTTATTATCGGATTGAGATGAAATTTTCCAAACAATATTTGTTTGGTCCATGGACGAACCCTATTGAAATTGGTGATGATCGAATTAAATGTAGATATAGCTCCCATATATATATTCTACCGATTTCGGGTTAATTGTGCACCAAATGGCCAATATCAGTCCAAATGACATGAATTCTGGCACATCCAACCAAATTGAGTCTAGAAGCAAGTACATCAAATTTGGTGAAATCGGTTCAGAAATAGCTATAGCTACCATTTATAAGTTTCATCCGATTTGGTGTTTAAGTCCCTCACATTTGTAATCTGCATTCGACAACAATGATATTTGGTACCAGATATCAGATACAGCCCAGAAATACCTCTGCCAAATTTTATCAAGATCGGTTCAGATTTGGATATAGCTCCCATATATATCTTCAACCGATTTGGGGTTAATTTTGTACCCAAATGGCCAATATAAGTCCAAATTACCTGAATTTTGGCACATCCGACCGAATTCAGTCTAGAAGCAAGTACATCAAATTTGGTGAAAATCGGTACAGATATACCCATAGCTCTCATATACATGTTTCTTCCGATTTGGGGTTTAAATCCCACACATTCGTAATATGTGTTCGACAACAATGATTTCTGGTACCAGATATCAGATAGAGCTCGGAAATACCTCTACCAAATTTTATCGAGATCGGTTCAGATTTTGATATAGCCCCATATATATCTTCAACCGATTTCGGGTCTATTTTGCAAATAATGGCTAATATCAGCCCGTACGTTTCCATTTTGTGGAATTAGGCTCCGATATATACAGGGTGAGATAAAAAACGGCAACAAAGTCAAAGGCCATAATTTTTAGATTTTTTTATAAATTTTATTGAACGACAGCAAAAAATATCGGAAATTGCATCAAATTTTGGAATCAGTTTAGATTTGTTCGAATTGGTCACCTTTGGCACGAATTATGGCCTTCAAACGGCCAATGAAACCGTCACACGCTGCCCGAATGTTGCTCTACGGCATTTTGGCCCATTCCCGGCGAGGCGCTTGCTTGAGGTGATCGACACTTGGTATTTTTTTGGTGCCAACCTTGCTTTTCAAAATACTCCAGACCCAATAGTCCAACGGATTGGTATCCGGAGATTTTGGTGGTCATTGTTGTGCGCTGGAAATGAAGCAAGGAACCTCATTTTGTAACCATTCTTGGGTGGCGCGTGCTGAGTGCGATGGTGCTGAGTCCTATTGGAATATCCAAGGTCTGCGGCCAAAATGTTTGCGAGCCCAAGGCTTTAATGCGCCACCCTTCAGAATATTTTCGCGATAATATTTGGCATTTATTCTGATGACACGGTCGATTAATACGAGCGGAGACAATCGGCCATTGGCTGTTATGGTGTCCCACACCATCATCAACATAGCCGGTGCTTGAGTTCTGGTGGCCAATCGAAGGTGCACATTTTCAGCTGACCTCTTTGGCAAGTAAACACGATCATTTTGTTTGTTTACAAACTGCTGGGCAGCGAATGTTTTCTCATTGGGGAAGAGATAACCAAATTCGGCAGTTCACTACTTTCGGCCAAGCGAAGAACAACTCTTTAGCTCTTTTAGCCTATTTTCTTTCTGTTGCGGTGTAAGTTCTTGCGCTTTTTGGAATTTCAATGGCTTTACCCCGAGCTCATTTTTCAATATTTTCCGAATGGAATGGAAGCTCACGAGCCATTTTTCAGCCACTGCGACGCGGGTTTCGATCAATTCGCTTCTTTAACATTTTCGAACCATTTCTGCCGAAGTTTACTGTTTTCTTCCGTCCACTTCCTTAACATCGGGCTACGCTATTAGCATCACGGTAACAAGAGATGGTACGAGACACAAAAGATTTATTCACATTTAAATTCTGGAGTCCTCTAACGATAGCCACTTGTGGTTTTCCAGGCAAATATTAAGAATTCACACTATCACGACGCTTGAATTCCATCACGAATAACTTTTTTTCTGGAAAATGCTCACCAAAATGCTTTGGTACGCTTGTCAACAATATAATGAGCTGTCACTGGAATAATTTTGACAGCTGTCGGGCGAGTGGCTTAGAAATGACAGCAGTCTGAAGTTAATTGCAGTTTTTTCATCTCACCCTGTATTGTGCAAATAATGGCTAATATCAGCCCGGATGGAGTGAATATCGGGACGTACGTTTCCATTTGGTGCAACTCGGCTCCGATATATATTTTTTAATATAATCCTCCTCAAAGTCATATCAGGCACTCTATAACAATGTTATTTGGTATAAAATTTTAAAATGTCTCCGTCAAATTTAGTGAAAATCGATTCAGAATTGGATTTGCCTCCCAAATATTAGTTCTCTCTGAAACCAAAGTATAACTGCTCTAAAGCCAAATATTGATGTCATGTATAATCTACTTCAAATAAGTTCTTTTGTTACGGGAGCTATACTTAACCTGCATATTGGTGTAGGTTATAAAATAGTTGGCCCGCCCGACTTTTTTCTTTTCCTTACTGGTTTTATTTTTTCTTTATTCATCGGACAATCGATTTATCCAAAAATGTGGATAACGTTTCCAGGAGCATTCCGACCAAGTGTATAACTTATATTGATCTGTACAGGACTTGAATAACTTAAATTTATATCAGCCCATTCTTTAAGAGACCTTTATTGCCTACCTTTTATTTTCCATTCTTAATTTCCTTCTCCTCTTCTCTCTCCTTTTCGTTGCAGGTAAATTTGCCACATTGGATACAATGCATGCCCTCTGCCTGCCATTGGGTGCATCCATTTCACTTTTAATTATGTTCTTCTTTTTCGATTCCATGCAGCTGCTGTTTGCCGTTTGTACAGCAAGTAAGAGTTTTCGCCTACATTCCTTTCTTCTTTAGTACTCCTCCTTCATACGCATTTTCTTTCTACCCCACCACTTTTGTTGCAGTAATTGCCACCGTGGCTCTGGCCTTTCTACTCTTGCCGATGTGTCAGTATATCATACGCCCCTGCACTGATGGTACCCGAATCTCATTTGGAGTCTGTGGACGTTTTACTGCCGCCGAATTATTTAGTTTTACTCTATCTGTGTCAATTGTCTGTGTGTGGGTGCTAACGGGTCATTGGCTCTTGATGGATGGTAAGTTAAGGAATTTTATGAAAATATCTCCATAATTATTAATTAATTTCTACCTTTTCGATTCCAGCAATGGGCATGGGCTTATGTGTTGCTTTCATTGCATTTGTCCGCTTGCCCAGCCTTAAGGTCTCCACTCTCCTGCTAACCGGCCTGCTCATCTATGATGTCTTCTGGGTCTTCTTCTCGTCGTATATCTTTAGCACAAATGTTATGGTCAAAGTGGCAACACGTCCAGCCGATAATCCGGTTGGCATTGTGGCGCGCAAACTGAACCTGGGCAATATGGTTAAGGAGGCGCCAAAGCTGAATTTACCGGGAAAACTGGTTTTTCCCAGCATACACAATACCGGACACTTTTCAATGTTGGGTTTGGGTGACATTGTAATGCCGGGTCTGTTGTTGTGTTTTGTGCTGCGCTACGATGCCTATAAGAAAGCCCAAATTGTAACGAACGATCAAATGCTACCACCGCCAAAGGGTGTCGGCTCAAGGTTGACATATTTTCACTGTTCCTTATTGGGGTGAGTAAATTTCTTTACTTTTTTTTTTTTCGAACGTTCCCACGCCTCACATTCCCACCCCTGCCGACCGAGGGGGCGACCTCCCTTTACGGAGGGATCGCGTACACATCATGATCCGCATCATAATGGGAATTCAGTAGGAAATTTAAAACCAGCTACAGAATTTAATTCATCAGCTAATTTGTCAAATAATAAAACATGTATGTTAATTGTTTAAAAATAAAATTATTCTAGATTTAATAACTTCTAAACTCATACCAAAATCTACATTACAGTACACAGAATTAAAGTCAACACACATTTTACTAAGAGGTTCGCCCATTGAATAATTCGTGCGGTGAAAATCAGTATATAATAATTGGTAGTATCTACTAGATCTAAACGGAACATTAATTCTAATAGATGAAATCAGAAAATCTGAGGGTATATTACCATTTAATATTTTTAGTACAAACATGGAGTTCAACATAATACGTCTGCTTTTAAGTGTAGGCAATCTAATTAATTTTAGCCTGCTAGCATAAGAAGGCAAAACAAAATCACTATTCCAATGTAAACCTCGTAAGGCAAATAGCAGAAATTGTTTTTGCACGGATTCTATTTTATCTGAGTATGTTGCATATTGAGGATCCCATACAACAGAACCGTATTCCAATATAGGTCTAACAAGAGACGTAAATAACTGTTTTGTTATATATGGATCAGAAAAATCTTTGGCCCACCGTTTAACAAAACCTAAAACACCATTTGCTTTATTTACCATTGTTATTACATGGCTATTAAAATTTAATTTTGGATCCATCAAGAGGCCAAGATCAACAAATGAATCTACAGTTGATAATGAATGACCGTCAATATTATATTTTAATATCAGAGAAGAAGATCTGGAGAAGCACATATGCTTACATTTGCTTAAATTTAACTCCATACAATTTAACGTGCACCATTTAAAAAGGCTATCTAAATCGTTTTGAAGTAAACTCGCTCGTTTATCACAATTATGGGAAATGAATAATTTAACATCATCTGCGTACATTAACAATTTCGAGTAATTTATGGAATTAGGTAAATCGTTGATAAATAAAAGAAAGAGGACCGGTCCAAGGTGACTTCCTTGCGGAACACCCGATGGAACGTTAATCGTTTTGGATAGATACCCTTCAAACAAAACTAGTTGTGATCTATTTTGTAAGTAAGATGATATCAATTTGACTAAGTTTGTGTTGAAACCCATATAATTTAATTTATATATTAGGAGTTCATGGTTAACCCTATCAAAAGCTTTACTAAAATCGGTATAAATTGTATCAGTTTGTTTACGCTGAACAAATCCTTTTATTACTGTTGACGTAAATTCTATAAGATTTGTTGTAGTTGAAAGACCACTACGAAAACCATGCTGATATGGACTCAATATAGATTGAATTTTCTGTGAAATTACTGCAGTAATTAATTTTTCAAACAATTTTGGTATGGCACTTAATTTTGCAATTCCTCTATAATTTGACACATTAGTAAGACTACCAGACTTATGTAAAGGTATAATATAAGATTTTTTCCAAAAAGTAGGAAAGTGACCAAATTTAAGTGAATAATTAAACAATATAGTTAACGGAAGTGCTAATGTTTCTGAACAATATTTAAGAATTATATTAGGTATGCCATCCGGTCCTGGACATTTAATCGATTTTAAACTACGCAGACTATTGGACACATCATGACGTTGTAGAAAAGGCATACAAATTTGATCAGCCTGTGATAACTTATAAGGATACGAATCTTTAATTTGGCAAGATGTACTGGAATAGGTTGTGGCAAAAAAATCTGCGAAACATTCAGCAATATCTGTGCCTGTGACAAATTCTTTATTGTTATATTTCAATACTGAGGGCTTTGAGGAAACTTTTCGTTTTAGATTAACAAAATCATAAAAAGATTTAGGATTGGATTTAACATTATTTTTAATCTTGTCTAGGTAAAGATTATACAACCGTCGAGACTCTAAAGTATATTTAGATCTAGCAACAGAGTAATTAGTATAGTCTATTGTTAAGCCTGATTTTTTATATTTACGAAAAAGCTTATTTTTAGAATTTTTTAAACTTGATAACTCAGGGGTTATCCATGGATATTTATTTGAATTTTTAACTCCAGTGGTTGGAACACATTCCAGTTTAAATCTATTTAAAATATCATAAAATTGATCAATTACATATTCTAAATCTGTATGGCTGTTACACAGGCACACAGAAGCCCAATTTATGGAGGAAATGAGAGTATTAAGTTTTCGAAAATTAGTTTTTTTGTAATTAAGGACAGTTTTAAATGAGTCGGACTGACTTTCTTCAATTACATAACTGTGAGTCATGGAGATATATAAAGTTGGATGGTATATATCTTCAGGAGTGCATATTGGAGGAATTCTGAATATATCAAAATGCTGTGTTATATTTACAAACGCCAAATCAAGAATTTTGCCATGCGAATTTTTTACACTGTTTATTTGATAAAGATTTACAACATCAAATGTATACTGGGTACTGTTCATTTCAGATGGCAAAGGAATCAAAGCTTCAGAATCTGGCATTGGAAGCCATTTAATGGAGGGCATATTAAAATCACCAAGGATCAGAATGCGATCGGAATCTTTCATTTTTTCAGTAATTAAATTTATTTCTGATAAATGCAGATTATAAATGTCAAGTGAAGATGAGGGGGGAATATAAGAGCAAGTTACAAACAATTTAGATTTGCCCAATTCAATGGAAACACAAACAAATTCTATATCAAGAAAATCATTTAGATCAATTAAATTAGTGGTATATTTGGTATCAACTGCAATAAGGACGCCACCACCTTTTTTACAAACACGATCTTTTCTAAATATTTGATATTTTGAACATAATATTTCACTATTTAATATAGATGTTTTTAACCAAGTTTCGGAGAAAACCAATACATTATAATTGAAACCAATGCTATCAGTATATAAACTGGTTAATTTTGTATTAAGCCCCCTTACATTCTGATAGCAGATAGAAAATGAGTCATTTAGTTTTTTGGCACCGAGTCTGGTCTAAGAGGCAAATGAGCTAAATTATCGGATCTCTCCACAAATTCTTTAATAAATGCCCTAGCAGGCCAAAATTCTTTTAAAATCAACTGTACAAAAATATTGTCAGGCACAACGATTTTGAAAGAAGATCTACTTTCAGAAAATGCAGATCGGAGCTTATAACATTTCAAAAAGTAATCTCCCTCAATTTTTGATTTTATATAATAGTTTATGTCATCGGCCGTTGTTTCTGGTGCAAACCTTGTTGCAAATATCATTTTCATGGCGGGGGCCATGGATAATGATCTTTGGACAGGTTGAGTTTTGCCAGTAGCAGTCTCGGGACGATCACTAGTGATAAGTGAAGGAAATGATAATTCCTGTATGTCACGAGTAGATTGTGAGGTTTTCTTAGAAACCTCACTATCAATATTCATAACATCAGGATTAATTACCCCTTTACCTATACCGCTGTTATCTACCGGAACTGGGTGTGTAATAACACTGGCATACGACTGTTCACGTCCATTCTCAGTTGTATCAGTGATATTAACTGAGACCGGTTGTGGAACAGTGTTCTCAACAGAAACTATTGCTTTGCGACTAGGCATTCCCTTAGTTGGTGCCTTTTTCGCAGCCCTTTTGCGTTTCTGTCCAGAAACTAACGGTGACGACACAAACTCATCTAACTCTTGGTATTTCTCAAACAATGTAGAGAAATTCTCAAATCGGAGTGATAATGAGGAAAAATCTTTTTTCATCGATGTCAATTCCGACTGCAAATCCTTCACAAAATTATAAAAGTCTGCAGAGAGTTTCCTGCATTGCACACAACACCAACGAACACCAACATTATTTCTAATTGTGTCTACTACTTTTGCATTAATCCTAGCACATTTTGCATGCCATTGATTAAGACAAAACCAACAGGTAACACACAATTCATCCTCAGCAACAATATTACACAATTCAAAAGGGCACGACATTTTCTTTATTTTAATTATAACTATTTCTTTTTTAATACACAAGTTCCAAATATTTTATTTAAGATTACTCCAGGAAAACTTTATTCTAACTAATGTTTATTCTTGCTATCCATCCATTCCAGTTACTTTTTGGGTCTACTTACCGCCACTGTAAGCTCGGAAGTCTTTAAAGCAGCGCAACCGGCACTTCTCTATTTGGTTCCATTCACATTACTGCCTTTGTTGACAATGGCTTATCTGAAGGTAAGAACAAAGATGTGACATTCGCAAGGGTTATTTGCAGTAGCACATTTTCTGTACATGGAGGTACTTGTCGGAAATCGTTTGTCTAGAGAAGGCCTATGAAAGAGTTTCTGTCCACGGAGAAAGCCCCATATTTTTAAAAGATCTAATCAAAAGAATACATTTAGAAATCTTCTATTTACAGATGTATTCGTAGAATTTTTTCATCTATTGAAGGTCCCTAAAAGCTTTTCCATCTATCGAAGACCTGTAAAAGGTCCTCTAAGTGTAGGAGTCGTGGAAAAGTTTTGCTTTTCCATAGTCAATCTATACAAATCCCTGTGAAAGATGTATTTGTATAGTAGCGTCGTGTTTCTCTAGAAGTCCTGCAACACGTTTTCTGTCTAGAGAAGACCCAAGAAGGAACTTCATCTGAACTTATCGACTCGGCTATTTGGCGCTTCAGCTCGCCTGTCGATGAGGCTCTATGGAGAGCTGTCTGTCCGCTTATCGAAAATACTCCTTGAATTACCTTCAGCTTGTCTATTGATAAGGCTATCTGGGCCCTCCCCAGCTCCGTTTTCGGTAAGGCTCTCTGTAGACCCTTTACCTCGCCTATTGTCTCGGCTACCTTGCTCTCCATTTCAACGCACCTATAGATGAATCTTCTATCGACGAGACTCCCTAAAGGACCTATAATTCGTCTATGCGAATAGGCTGCCTGGAAGCTCTTTCGGTCGCCTATGGAGGCCCTTCAGTTTATCTACGAGAATTGAAGGGAAAGCCAAAAAAATTCCCTAGCCGAAAAGATAGCTGAAGGGATTCAGCTCGTTCATGAAAAAAAGACTCCCTGTTGCTGCTTCAGCTCGTCTTCGAAAATAGAGACTGCATGGTGTCTATCAGAACATACACTCTCTGTTGGCTCTTCAGTTCGTCTTTGAAAATGAGAATTCCTAGATGGCCCTTCAACTCGTCTATGAAACAGAGTCTCCGAATTGGCTCTTCAGCACGTCTCCGAGAATGGAGACTGCCTGCTGGTTCTCCATTTCGTCTTGAAATATAGAATCCCTAGTGGCCCTTCAGCTCGTCCATCAAAGAAGAGATTCACCATTTGTCCTTCAGCTTCAGCTTCAGTCTTCGAGAATAGAGACCATATTGGTCCTTTAGATCGTCTACTCTAATAGCGACTCCTTAACTCGACTTCGAGAATAGAGACTCCTCAACTTGTCTTTGAGACTTCTTGGTGGCACAAGGGAGACTCCCTGGAGGATAGACTCATATCTGAGAATGTAGTCCCAGACCCGTCAGTTCATCTCTTAAAATAGACTCCCAAGCCCGTCATGCCCGTCCATAGAATAGTCTACTGGTCGTCTACTCGTCTGTTACCAAGGAAAACATTTTCCTCGCCAGATCGCTTCTCCCGTCATGAGCAGAAATAATTTGCGAAGTTGGCAACGCCAATGGGTCTTTTTCGTACCTTGTGTAACCTAGTTGTTGTATAAAGACGAGAGTACATAAAAGGCTTTTCTCACTGGCTTAAGTCATCGGTTGGTGTCTCTTTGTAGAGGAACAAAGGAGTTTTAGGTTGACTTAGTTCGATTTTGGCCCTACGCTCCTTTGTTCTTTTCGAAAAAGCCAGTCTATAGCTTAAGCCAGTTAAAAAGGCGTTTTATGTGTTCTCACCTTAAATTAGTGCAAAACTTAAAGTTTTACTTTTTTTATAAAATAATAGGCTACTTAAAATACATGTGTCGAAAGTTGAAAAGCCTATGGAGCGACAGAAGTTTGACAATACAATCCTTAATGGAATTTTATCAATGTTTCTTAGTATATTTTTAAAATCAATTTTTGAAATAAAATGCAAAAATAATTTAAAAAAAAAAACATTATGTATGTTAATAAATAATTGAAAATATGGTATAAATAAAAGGCATTATCGCTTTTTTGCCCGTCTGTAATTGTCAACATCTCTTTAGAACGACTATGATAGATATCCAGTTTTTTTAGCTCGTTCATTATAGGACAGGAATCCTTTATTTCTAATGAAACATTTTCTCATCTTCTATTTTTTTTCTTTTCCATTGCAGGGCGATTTACGTCGCATGTGGAGTGAACCATTCATTACCCAACAACCTTCAAAACAACTGGAAGTCTGAGTGTTTTTCATGAAACGAAAATACTTTTTTTTAAAGAAACAAAAAACACTACTACTACTATAACTTAATGTATAAATTATAAGTTAAACAACACTCTCTTTTTTCAAAAAAAAATCTTTTTTTTTTGTTTTCTTTTTAGTAATACGTTTTTTTACAAAACAAAAATAGGAGAAAAAAATAAGCAAAAAAAATAAATAAATATGGAATATAAACAAAAAAACCGAAAAGAAATGAAAACAAAAATGAATCAAGAAGAAGAAAAAAAAAACAAAAACAAATTTTATTTATAAAATAAGTTAGGTTAGTTTTTAAATTGCCTTTAAAAATTATTATTATTATGTATTATTATTTTTTATATATATGTAGAAATATTATATTTTTTGTTTTATAAGTTTTAAGTATAATCTTTTTTCTATACAAAACAAAAAACAAAAACAGGAAAACATTCACCCTTCCCTCCTCCTCTCGCTCTCTTTATACATTTCTTAAGATCATTAATTTTCATGGTGGAGAATCTACAAAAAAAAATAGGCTTTGGATTTATTATTTTTTTGTTTTTCATTTTTTCTACCCTTCAAAGCCGCCCCTTCGAATATTATTTAATACACAACAACAATAATAATAATAAATAACAACAAAAAAAAACAAAACACCCACATTCTGTCACATTACTTACATAGAAGACATATATTATGGAATAACTAAAACAAAATATAAACGTAAAGTATGATGGAAATAAAATAATAATAAAACAAATAATATAATTAAACAAAAAAACAAAATTAGCAACTATTATTAACAATAAAAACAAAAACAAGAAACTTGAAATTACAAAAAAGATCGAATCATTCTTGAAATTATAATAACATGAACAAATGATAAACCAAAAAAATCCTAGTATTTATAATTCATTTTCATTGAATTTTGGGGAATTTTTAGACATCCTGAATGTCTCTGGCTCCAGATAAGATAATAGCACATATTGCAGCATTTTGGAAAGGTTAAAGTGTAAAGGTGAGAATACATAAAACGTCTTTGGACTGGCTTCTTCGCAGACGAACAGTGAGTTTTAGGTTGATTTAGTTCGATTTTGGCTCTACGGCTCCTTTACTCTTTTCCGAAAAAGCCAGCTAATGAATTAAGCCAAATAAGCGTTTTATGAATTTCGCTGGGTATGGGAAACGTAGACCTAAATATTCAATGTCCTGCCACCGAAGCTAAAACTCATTTTGAAATACAAATACAAATTTTTAGACAAATCCATGGAAAAGTATGGAAAAATTAACAAAATACCGAATATGGGGAGGTACCGTTTTATGACGGCTATATCAAATTTTTGACCTATATATCTCATTTTCAATGCCAACAATCCTAGACACAATACAAATTGTCCTACCAAATTTGGAGGCTCTATGTCAAATAATGTGGGCTGTATCGTGATTTCAACAGACAAACTGGCGGATACCTAGAATTTTATGCAGATTATGAATATATGTACTTTATGAAGTGTATGACGAATACGTAGGAATGTTACAAACGGATTGACACAAAGTTAATATACCCTCCTTTTCAAGGTGGAGAATAAATAAAGGAGCTTCAGGTTGACTTAGTACAATTCGGCACCATAAAATGGCCCAATTATGTCTCTGTTTCAAAATCCGTACAAAGCAGTGTCAAATTATCCATATCGAAAAGGGGTACGCATCGTGTGATACGTTTTATGTATTCTCGCCTTAATTTCTTTCTCCAATTTTCATGAGCTATTAAATGATACTTATAATATCCACATGGGTTTAGTAGATCCGTGTCTTAGACCCGAATCTGGGTATCCGTATACGTCCCCCAAGGAAAAATAATTTCTGGGTAGTAGGGTACAAATACCTTTAGAAAAAAAGTATTTTACCTGACTGGACTTGTTCCAAAGTTGGAGTCACTGAACAGTAGCGGTCACCATATAACAATATAATATTTTTTTCAACTGCTGCTTATTTCGTAAATGGTAACACTTAAGGTGAGAATACATAAAACGGCTTTTTGACAGGCTTCTTCGTAAAAGAAAAACAGAGCTTTTAGGTTGACTTAGTTCAATTTCGGCTCATAATTTCGAAAAAAAAATGGTCCAATTATGTCTCTGGGCCAAAATCTGCACATAGCAATTATTCTTTTTGGCTGTAAAACCCATTCCATTTGATAATGCCAATCGTGAGTATCCGCGCGAAATTCTACTACCACAGATAGAGGAGAAATTGTTTACGCAGATGGCAACGCCAGTGGGATTTTTTCGTACCTTGTGTAACCTATTTGTTGTACAAAATTGGTGCAAAATTTTAAATGCTCTTGGTTTTTGTTAAATGATGATTTCATCCGCTGTCTTTTTTGTAGAGGAACAAATCAAAGACCTAAAAGACAAGACAAAATGCATTTTGAGCAAATGGTTTGTATCTACAATACATAGAGTAGCAGCACATGAATATTAGAAAAATCCCAAAATTTGGCTTCAAAATTCTATTCCATAGACCTTTCCCAAAATGTGCATATTGCTTTAGCGGTTTAAATCAATTAGCATTGGAAACTATGTTGTTATGATATCATAACAACAGAGGCGTTTTGACAGGGCTGCCATATTTTTACTCTGTCTTGTCTTATCTTTATACTTCTATGTCTTTGAACAAAAGAGTAACGTAGTTCGATTTTGGCGCTACTCAGAAAAGCATTTTATGTACTCTCACCATTACGCGTTTTATGTATTCTCACCTTTCTGCGTTTTATGTATTCTCACTTTAATTAAATGAAAGATTTGAAGAATTTCAAATATTTTTAAACGTTCCCCTACCAAACATACATACAAATTGTCTTCGTTTTACCAAATCATTTGTTCTGTTCATGTGTATAAAAATTACTCATTTTTTGATTTTAATTCCTTCCTTCTTTTTTTCTTTTTATCACACACAAAAAGCCAATGTATTATTAACAAAAAAAAACCAAAATTATATTTATAGCTAAAGAAATTAATAATAAATACTGGAGATTGTGCAACCAAACCATCTTGAAAATACTGACATATTTCAATTATTATTATTAAATTAACAATTATTACAAAACAAGAGAAAACAATAAGTAATATAAATACAAAAAAAAAAACATACATAAGTAAATGACAAAACAAAATGACATTTTAGTATTTAAGTTATCAAAAATTGGTTAAAACAAATAATTTTTAAATAAACAGCAACAAACAAGTAAAAAAATATATCAGTTCTGATGAAAGAAGAAAAATATGCATGGGTGTCTTATTCACTTTTGTGATGTTAAGTGAAATTAAACGTAAACAGTTTTATAACGTCCGACGGCAACGTGCTTTCATTTAAATTTGTTTCGTATAACAGTTTTGTTTTACGGACACTCATGATTATTGCATAACGTAACGCAACAATGACTATGGATGATACTTTAGTACTTGCGTATGGCAGGAAACACAAACGATATAGTCTTATTTATTTGTAATTTTGGCAATGAAAATATATTAATAAATTTGATATTGTTCAGTAAAAGTTTAATTACTAATAATATTATTAAAATATCACAGGAACCCATTATATCCGACGTAAAATAGCAATACTGGTAATCAATCTAAGTATTTTACTCAGAAATTATGAGAATAGAAACTGGTAAGAATCTCTAAAATAGACTTTTACTACATTTTTAGACATGGCGGAATTTTTATACCCTCCACTATACATAGTTAGAGGGTATATTAAGTTCGTCATTCCGTTTGTAACTCATCGAAATAATAACTTTAGACATAACAAAATATATATAATCTTTGAATAGCGTAAAATTCTAAGACTATAAAGCCCCGTCCGCCCTTCTGTTGTAATCAGGCTAGATTCAAAACAAATAAGGATAAGAAGCTAAAATTTTGCACAGATCAGTCTTTTGTCAGCAAGAAAGTCAAGTTCGATGATGGGCTATATCAGTCCACGATATCTTATAGCCACCATAAAACGGTACCTCCCGAACTATTTTGATGATTGTAGCCAATTTTTTCAATGGAATTTCCTCAAAATCCAAAAAAGGAGTTCCTTCTGAGTATTTTATCCCCCGGAAGAGTATTGTCTAGATAGGTCCACGACATATTGTACCCCTTATAACGGTGCATCCCAATATTCGGTGTTTTGATGATTTTGGCTACATTATTCAATGGAATTGTCTAAAAATTCATACAAGAAGTTTTTACTAAGCACTTTACCCCCTGGAAGAGAAATGTCTATATAGGTCCACAATATCGTGTAGTCCACATACAACGGCATCCCCGATATTTGATATTTTGACGATTTTTGGTACAGCATTCAACGAAACTGTTTGAATTTTCGTATTTGAAGTTCCGAATGGATACTACAGCCTGCGACAGAAAGTTTTCTATGCAGGTCCAGATCTTTGTTTAGCCCTCGATATAACGATATCTCCCTATATTCGGTATTTTGATGATTTTAGCTACATTAATCACCAGATTTTTCTCGTAGTTTCGTATTTGAGTACTGTAATGTCTTATGACAAAAGTTTCCTATGCAGGACCACTTCTTCATAGAGATCCCAATATAACGGCTATATTCGGTATTTTGAAGATTTTAACAGAATTTTTAACGGATTTTTTTTTTGAAAATTTCTAAATTCGTTAATTGGTGGAGGGTATTAAAAGTTCGGCCCGGCTGAACCCTTTGTACTATCGTTCCGACACCACTGGTTAAAACAGTCCACATACGTTTCGTGTTTTGCCACAAAGTTTACGATTTTTCCCTAATGCCTTAATTACAGTAAAAAAAAAACATCGGAATGTCTGTCAAGTACATATGCATGTACAAGGTGGCACAAAAGTAAACTTTTGTCTGTAACTAAGTCAATCGTAAAATTTATAGCATTTTCTGATAGAAAGATTACTTTTGCGCCATCTTGTATATTAATCCCCCCTGTGATGATCCAATCTCAAATACAAAACTGTTTTCCTCTAAACTGTACAGTCCCAAATGAAAAAAGTTCGCTTGTGTGTACACCACTTCAGTTTTATTCATTCTACTGAATTTTAAGGGATAACTAGGTCGACTTGTGGTTTATTTGTTTTTCATATAAAAAAAACAAATAATTTATCTCCAATGTACATTTTAACGAATTCTTATAAAATATAGAATGAATAATTTATATTAATTAACTCCTTTTAACTTCAAAATGCTCTCGCACACAATGCATTCGATTATTCTCATCGATGATTATAGATCTCCACATCCCTATGCAACGAAAATCGATTAGTCAAAAGTCGCTCTAGTTATCCCTAAACGAAAAGAAGACAAGAAGGCGGACACACACGGACAATATAAACTACAAAATAGGCAAAAACAACGTGATACGGTGAAAAATATCATAAATATTATATTACGTGACGCGTGAAAATTTCCGAAAAAAATAACAATACAATTTGGCAGTGTAATAAAATTACACAGAAGAGTGGTTGGTGTATGTGGAGTATGTTTTGAAATTTTCTTCATTCAAAGAAGTCAATCGGTCAGTGCACAAGTCAAGCCCAAAAAAAAACAGAACAAAACGAGACATTTTTATGTGTGGTGTGTGTATATATTATAGTATATATTAGAACACATATATTTGTGTACTTGTGCGATTAGAAATACAAATCCCCATTAGAATAACACCTAATAAATCTATGTTTTGATCTATATATTGTGTGTTTTTGAAAGAAACGCAGAAAGTGTGTTTTTTCTTTCCCCAAATCGATGATTTGTGAAAAAATGTGGAGTGCGTTGTGAAAATTTACAAAAAGAAAAGAAATAAGAAGAAGAAGAAAAAAATAAAATATAACAACAACAAATAACAACACCAAGAATCTATTTCATGGTTGATGTTTTTGTTGTAGATGATGTGATGTGAGTGATTACGGTGGTGATGTTCTTATTGTTGTTGTTTTTTTTTTCTTAATTTTGTAGAAGGAATCAACAGTGAAAACAGAGTGAATTTTTATGGTCGGGTTTAAGGTGTACACAACAAAACAACATCATCAGCAGCAGCAGCACCAACAACAACAATAATAACAACAGCCAGCACATCCTCAATGCTGGCAGCGACAGAGGGCACTCTGTTACAACAATAACCAGACAATGGTCTGATTTGTTGGTTCTCTGTGTACACACAAGAGAACTGCAGCAGCATCGGTAGTGCGTTCCGTTAAAGTGCTAACATCGTATGTTGCATTGCCGAAGAAGAGAGAAAGCGCGCGAGCAATTACATTTGGCTCTGATGATGCCTAGGTCACTGTTGCTGCTCTGCTAAGCCAGAGAAGAACGAAAACAAAAAGAAAAAAAAAACAAAGCAGACAAACAGACGTTTCGGTTTAGTTAGTCAGCAGTCCAGTCCGTTGTGTGTGATGAAAAAAGATGGTGATGTTGATAAACAAATAAAAAATAAAAAAAATGGAAAAATTAATTGTTAATGTAATAATCACGATGTAAAATTAACAATAACAAAGGAAAATTGAAGTGTAAAACAAACCAAGGGAATTATTAATGAAATCCATGTCAAATCTCTTAGTTAAACCAAAGCAGCATCAACAAATACAACAACCACAACAATTAGCATAGCTAAGTGAAAAATAACAACAAGAAAAAAAGTATTTATTAAAAAAAATCAACAACGACAACAACAACGTATGTGATACATACGTCAACCAGAGGCAAAAAAGATAGTAAACAACAAACGCTGACGAAACACAGTCAACATCAGCAGCCAGTCAGTCAGTCAGCTAGCCAGCCGCAAGCAAGCAGGCAGGCAGGCAAGTGCAAGGTAATTTAAACCAATCAAAAACAAACTACAGAAAAATAAACAATAACAAAATACGTAAAACATTCATGGTGGTAGACGGCAAAACAAAATTATATATGTATATTTGTATATATAGTTATTATATGTATAAATAAACAACAACAACAACAACAATACAGTGCAAAGAAATATTATTAAGCTTATTAATGTGAGGTTTTACGGCGCAATAACGAAACAACAGCAACTACAACACAACACAATGCTGCTGTTGTCGTCGTGGTCGTCGACGTAGTCGCTGTTGCCGTTGTTGTTATTGCTGTTGAAGAAAAACAAATAAAATGGTAGAGGCACAACAACAACCAAACGCTAAAATGCGTATATAAAAATATTCGCTATCACTTGATGTGATGTGTTGTTTTCATTTTATGCTGTTGTTATTTTATTTGTTTTTATTTTGTTTTTTTTTTTTGTCTTCTTTGCTTTCATATGTTTACTTTTTTATTATTATTTCTTCCACTCTATATAATATGCACACGAACAGTGAGACACGCACACACACATCCATGTACTATATACATATATACAAACATATATATTAGACATTTATTTTGTATGCTGTTATTTTACTACACAACAAATCTATACTAAAAATGGGAGTATGTCTGTATGTCCATATACATATGTAGGTTGTATGTACGTAGGTCACTCACTCTCAATGTTGTTGTTCATTTTCGTAGTGACAAAGAAGAAAACACGCAATTAGTTTTGGTTTTTTTGCACACTCTCTCTCTCCTCTCACCAGCACTACCATTCGGGTCTTGTTCTTGTTCTTACCCAACATCATCTCCTCATCAGCAGAAATGTCAAATTCCTTTAATTTAAGGAGCCCTCTCTTAAAGCAATGTTGCCAGATGGGATATTTATTGGGTTTTTTTTATTTTCTTTTATTTTGAGGAGATGTTTATACGGGGAATTTTCTAATTAGAAATGAAATAGAATTGAGCATTTTAATTGGGGTTCCTTTTAAATTCATGGTAATAGTATTTGTAAATGAGAAAGAGAATTAGATTATTGGCATGATTAACGAATTTTTATATGATCAACAAACGAAAATAGAGCATGGTACACACTACAGAACATTATCATATTTGGACTATTTTTTTTAATATAGTTCTTATTTTCGTAATGAATCATATCAGCTGGAATGGTAAATTCTTTCAATTATAACAGTGGATTCTTTTACTTTTTATGTAAAAAAAATATAAAAAAATAAAAAAATGGAGGGAAGAACAGAAAATCGTTGTTGGAATTGATAAAACGGACACACTTAGAAAAAAGTTGTAATCAGCTGGTAGCTCTATCTTACTTTTTTTTTTGTACCTATCTGCATTTCCCCCAAAAAGTCTGTGTTTCTAGAGGTTTTCTTTTTTAATTTTCCTAATGCTACTCTAAAATTTAGTACGTTTTGATGGATAACAATTATAAAAATTAACTGCCTCTGTTATATTTTATTATTTAACAAGTAAAAAAGCATTAAGTTCGACCGAGCCGAACTTTTGAAAATGCCGAATATATACGATATTGGGATCTATACGAAGACGTGGATCTGCATAGACAACCTTTGTCATAATTCATTACAATATTCAAATAAGAAACTTAAAAAAATCGGTGAATAATATAGATAAAATCATAAAAATACCGAATATAGCGGGGTACCGTTATATATGAATACCTGGATCTTCATAGAAAATTTTCTGTCACAGGCAGAAAACTTCGTTAAATATTGTACCTAAAATCGTCAAATTACCGGGGAGGTACTGATATACGATGGGCCTATACGAAGACCCTGATCTGCATACACAATTTTTTCATAGACTGTAGTTTCCTTGCGAACTCTACAGAGTGATCGACACTTTGGTATTTTTAAGTGCCAACCTTGCTTTCCAAAATACTCCAGACACAATAGTCCAACGGATTGGTATCCGGAGATTTTAGTGGCCATTGTGCGCTGGAAATGAAGCGAGAAACCTCATTTTGTAACCATTCTTGGGTGCTGAGTGTGATGGTGCTGAATCCTGTTGGAATATCCAAGGTCTGCGGCCAAAATGTTTGCGTGCCCAAGGCTTTATTATACTCTCCAGAATATTTTCTCGATAATATTCGGCATTTATTCAGCTGTTATGGCGACCCACACCATCACCATGGTCTGTGCTTGAGTTCTGGTTGCTAACCGAAGGTGCACATTTTCAGCTGACCTCTTTGGCAAGTAAACACGATAATTTTGTTTGTTAACAAACTGCTGGACAACGAATGTTTTCCCATCGCAGAGTAGAATACCAAATTCGGTAGTTCACCACTTTTGGCCAAGTGAAGCAACTCTTTAGCTCTTTTGAGTCTATTTTCTGTTGTTTCTGTTGCAGTGTATTTTGGGATTTCAATGGCTTTAACCCGAGCTCATTTTTTCAATATTTGCCGAATGGAATATTGCAATATGTTCAGCTCTCGAGTCATTTTTCGGCCACTGTGACATGGGTTTCGATCAAGTCGCTTCTTTACTTTTCGAAGCATTTCTGATGTTGCTGTTTTCTTCCGTCCACTTCCTTGACGTCGGGCTACACTACCAGTATCACGGTAACGAGCGATGGTACGAGCCACAAAAGATTTATTCACATTTAAATGCTGGAGTGCTCTAACGATAGCCACTTGTGGTTTTCCAGCCAAATATAAAGAAATCACACTATCACGCTTGAATTCCGTTACGAAAAACTTTTTATCTGGAAAATTCTCAAAATGTTTTTGTACGCTTGTAAACAATATAATGAGCTGTTACTGGAATAATTTTAACAGCTGTCGGACGAGTGGCTTAGAATTGACTGCAGTCTGAATTTGGTTGCAGTTTTTTCATTCTCATCCTGTATATATTCTCGATTTATCTTTTTATTTTAAGTTTTGCAGAAAGTGTGGCAAATATTTCCCTTTAAAAATCTCATTGGTAATGACTTTTGAACACATAATTTACATTTTATACCTTATTTGCGTATTTTTGAGGATTTGGGGAATTTTTTACAACAATCCCGATTTTTTTGTTTTCAATATGCCAAATCTGGCAACTCTCTATTCCATATTCAAGGAGCTTTGTCCATGAAAACAAGCTCTCATTGTGTAGTATTTCCGTTTGATAAGTACTCTTCTCTTTCTCACTTCCTACCAATAGAGAATGCAAGGTTATTATTCAACTCTCTCTCTTTCTCTCTCTCGCTCTTTTGCGGACAACATTCAAAATATTTCCCCCCTTTAGGAGACATTTTTTTAGTATCCTTTAACATCCTCCTTTGTTTCTTACTCACTTTTCAAGGAGTATCGAAGCGGGACAAAAGAGAGAGCGAGCAAAATGGGATATATTTGTGCCTACCCCACACTAAATGGTTGGATGGTTTTGTAAGTTTGAAATGCCTAAGAGTACTGTTTCCTTTCTTTTTTCTGCTGCTTCTTCTTCTTTATTTTTTTCTTCGTATGTTACTGTTTTTGTCACATTCTCAAGGCTGTTGGTGAGTGCTTTTATTTCTGCCCTAAATAATGCGACATAGAACATGAGAAAGGCTGGCTTTCTGGCTGGCTAACTGGTTGGTTGGTTGTAACAAAAAAACCAAACAATCATCCACACAAGGACAACAAATGGGCTTGAGACTTGTAACCGAAAAACAAATGGGGGAGGCTTTACAAGGATACTTGTTTCTTTTTGCGTTTTTCTTAAAGGAAGTTGAGACGTATGTTTACATTTTTTCTCACGATAATTAAAGAGGATATTAAACACATTGGTGTATTGGCGAAACTTGTAATTATAAAGGGTTTTCTTAATCTATTTTATAGATTGAATATAATCTAAGACCTTTCTGGGAGAAATACTACCGATGATACTTTTTAAAGGTAGTTATAGGTAGGAAATTTTCAATTTTTTTCAAATTTTGTAATAATTTCTTAAAATCCAGACCTATGTAGAAAAATCATTAATAAAATCAAAATTATTTAAATTTTTGTTCGATTCAAAGATTTTCATTCAAGATATCTAGGTTTTATGTCTATAGAAATTTGTCATATATGTCAGAACTGTGTTTTCATTTTTCGACCTAGAATTCCCTATATAACATAGGGAATTCTAGATCTAGGTCTGTTGTGTGTCAGCGTTGTAATGCAATGCAACATGTCAGGCATTAACGGCTTTATTCTAATTAGCACAACACACTGCTGCGTTAATTAGGGCACTATAGGTTGAAAAATGAAAAGAGACTTTTTGTGTTCATGTCAGTAGATAAAGGGGGTTATTTATAAATTGATCGATAAATGAAGTTGTAACCGGTAATTGGAGGTATATAAATGAATTACATGTAATTTTATATCTTTAGCACAACACACAACGGGTGATCTGTGTTACATAAGGAACTCTAGGTCGAAAAAATGAAAACGGCGTTTTGACACATATGACGAATTTTTGTACAGGGTGAGATGAAAAAACGGCAACCATCTTCAGACTGCTGTCATTCTAAAGTCACTAGTCCGACAGCTGTTATTAATTATTCTATTGATAGCTCATTATATTGTTTACAAGTGTACAAAAGCATTTTGGTGAGAATTTTCCAGAAAAAAAGTTATTCGTGATGGAATTCATGCGTGATAGTGTGATTTCATTATATTTGGCTGGAAAACCACATCGTTAGAGTACTCCAGCATTTAAATGGGAATAAATCTTTTGTGTCTTGTACTATCGCTTGTTACCGTGATACTGGTAGCGTAGCCTGACGTCAAGGAAGTGGACGGAAGAAAACACCAACATCAACAGAAATGGTTCGAAAAATAAAGAAGCGACTTGATCGAAACCAGCGTCGCAGTGGCTGAAAAATGGCTCGTGAGCTGAACACATCGCAATATTCCATTCGGCAAATATTGAAAAATGAGCTCGGGGTAAAGCCATTGAAATTCCAAAAAGTGCAAGGACTTAAGAAAATAGACTCAAAAGAGCTAAA